TATGCGAGGTTGTCATGTTCAACATATTTCAGAGATCCCAGTCTTTCTACGAGAGACTAGAGTCTCTCAATTTTTCAGTTTTATTGATTCAGTCTCTCTGTGAGAGACTCGCATCTCTGAATTAACAATTTTATCGTTCGAGTCTCTGATACAGAGACTGTGAGAGATCCATAAAAACACCTAGGCAATAACTAAGAGACTGTGAAAGACGCTCTCAGAGACGCTGAAAGACTCTGAAAGACTCTGAGAGACTGAAAATTTTTATCTAGGGATCTACTAAAGCAAATTGAAAATTTCAAATATTAAAAATTTTTTATTCCAAGAAAAGAATATATTAAAGTTACTCCAAATAGTTTAACTCATAAATCCATCGGAAGTAATAATTTTCCGTTTAGTCTTGAGCATTTCGTCTTGGTCTTGCATATTCGGTCTTGATTTTACTTTTGGTCTTGTTCGTTCGGTTTTGATTTTAGTCTTGGTCTTGTTCGTTCGGTCTTGGTTTTAGTGTTGGTCTTGTTCGTTCGGTTTGGTATTGCTCTTGTTAGGGTAACGACAGTATTGCGGTTTGTGAAAATGTAAGAGCAAAACTAAGACTGCTCATCAGTAAAAATGGAAATAAAATAACTTGATTTGCTTGGATCTTTTTGAAATTTTTTAGAGCATAGCATGGGGTTAGATGTGAGCTCGTTTTTGAAAATTTATTAGTAAATTAACTTAACTCCAGCAGGAATTTGTAGTTGTTTAGTTCTTGGCAGTCTTCTTGTAGATTGAGCCTTACATTTACTAGAAATGATGGTAACTTGGTGTCAATTTATAATTCGTTTGTTAAAAGTACCTACCTACCCTTAATTACTCTTTTATTTTAGTCGGTCACATACTTCAGTTTGTACACGGTCGCCACGCTTCATCTAGCCCCATAAATTTCCATAACTGCGGCAATTTAATAGAAAAACACGGCGTATAAATGCATCCAACCAACGGAAGTAATACGAGTTGGGAGAATATTAAGCGCCGTTTTAATAATTGAATAAATAGACGACTTACAGACAGTCATAAATCTTTGGTTACAATGTTATCTTGCCGAAGAACAACGTTTTTAAAGGCGTTCGGCACAGAAAATTATGGTCTCTCGAGTAATAAAGCCTGTTACAGATTCTCCCTGAAAAATAAACAAACGAAAGACGAAACAAAACGCCTAGAAAAAAATTATTAGTTATTTAAGGGTTACCTGTTTTTGGTAGGTAGTCTCTATTTCCCGTATTAATAAAATAGAATTAATCAGTTTTAGTATTGACGAAACAAACAACTCAGAAATTGTTGTATAAAAAGAGACAATGTTTTTCCCATTACAAGTTATGTAACTCGTTTCCTTATAATTAAAGTCATTCAAATAGTTTTCCATGTAGGTAAGTGGTAAGTGCATTCTGTGGTTTTCTCTTTAAGTGGTTATTTATAGTCATTTTGCTAATAATATTTCAGCAGATATTAATTTTATGTTGAGTTAGAAGAACGTATTATTACATCCATAGGTATTTAAGATGATTTACTAATCGCTTATAAGAACTATTCACCACACACTCATTAATTTATGTAAATTCTTGAGGTTGTTTTTTATTTTTAGTTTCTAGAACTATTCTTTTCTTTTATTTGCTATTTTTAAAAGCAAGCGTACCATTTACATTTTATCGGAGGTGGACATACTCCCTACCTACCCTAATCTGGGGATAAAGTTGTTTGGAACAATATTTAAACTAACAGTAAAAATAATTCCTAAATGAATAATAAAACAACTCGTATGAAAACGAAAACTGTATAGATTCAAGTGATATTGCTTAGATTAATTAGAAAATCCTGTAGTCTCTATAGTGAGTTCTCTATTAAGCTGCGTTTCCCGTTTTCCAGAGACAGACTTGTTTATAGATTAGATATAGTTGGGATAATCAAAATTGGCAAACTCCGCAATTGTCTGTGAGAATGGATGTATGTTTTTTGTTACCACTAGGGACTGTAATCATTTGCTGCGTTTTGCACTCGCCCTTGTTAAGTTAAGAAATACTTCATAAGTGGTACAGATAAAGTGAAAAGAGATACAGTCTATTTCAATTTGTTAGAATTGTGACCTTGAAGAAATATACGCGACGATAGAAAGAATACACACTAGGCGTGAGCAAGACAGAAATAGTTGGAACAAGCTTGAACGAGCAGAGCTCTCGATGGGCGGTCTTAGGAGATCGGCTAGAACTGTAGAGTACTAGACGAAAATGTTTAGCAATTTCATAAAACAAAAATGTATATAAGTTAACAATAGAAAACAAAGCAAAAGTTTTATAGGTGTGTAGAACGTTAAGTTAATTCACTTGTTATTATTTTTGGCTAAATATGCTTTTAAATAAAGCATATTCTAAAATTTTAACGAGGCAGTTTAAATAATTTTGCAAATGGTACTGTACACTTTTGTCTAGTTCTCGCTCGATGATCGGTGGAGAAATGAGCTCCGCAGACAAATATGATTGAATTTGGAATTATGCTACGGTGCATCCTAATAAAGGGAAGGGGCATATCTCTAACTTCTTGAAACGAATAGTAAGCGAATGATAGTAAGCCGTGCAGCGGTTAGAGGTTGATTAGGTACGAATAAAGTCAGGGTCGGCTTTATAACTGCCTGGTTGGAATTATATCTTTAAACAAGCGTCTTTGCTTTCCTAAATTCCTGAGAATGTTGAACATTCTTTATAGTTCGATATTGGCAACACGCTCAAATTCTTCTTGTCTGCATCTCTGCATTAGTTGGTGTAATGTTATTCCTTTTTCTTTACTAGTGTCCGCTGCAATTCCTACCTGACATCTCTTTTCTATGTTGACGATATTCTGCTATAACGTCTGTCGTGGGCGTTCTATCAGCAACCGCTCTAGTATAGTCGGTAATTTGAAATAAAAAAGTAAATGCCACAGTTTTATTGCGGACTATGCCAATTTTCAACGAACGAACTATAGTTAACATTTCAAACTAAACAAACAGCGTTGAAGCTTGATTGGTATTTTTTACATGCGGTTTCGTTTTTGTTGTAAAAATGAATGCAGTTATTTTTTCTGATTCGATTTTCTCACAATATCTACTAAAATTTCTCTTATCCACCCCCTGGAACTGAATTAAGGGAAGTTTATGTAGATTATTTTCTGTCTGAAAACAAAAAGCGTTTAGAAAAGAGACAAAGGGATGCTTTTCAGAATGTAATTCATCAAAAATTCATCCCGTCTTTTTTTAAATTCCGGCAAATTAGGGTATATGTATGTGGTCGTGATTGTAAAAACACAGTCGGGAATTATTTTAGGATGTTATGTTTATTTATTTGTATTCATTCTTGGCATCATCTTTTCGGCTTTCGGTGTTATATCTCTTTTATAATACCCTGGATAGCGGTTTGCCGGTTGTTCCCAGCCTACAAGGGCGACTTCCAAGAAATAGGGTTTCGAATTGGTGACATAGATATGCGTTATATCACGTTCGTACAAGTTTTACGTTACGCTCAAAACGTTTAGACGAAGTTCCCTTATTATTACTATTATTAAAAACAACAAATTCGAGTGCAAACTGCATCTACCCTAACTGTAAGTTTGTATAGTTTTCTCAGTTTTTGCAATTTTTGAACGAAAAAAGTTGCCATCGTATTTTAAGAAGCCTTTACAATTTTTTCATTCATCCCTTGATATGTCACAATTATCGTACTCCAATAAGGCGTAAATTTGAAACAGTTATGAGCTATGAGAATACTATGTATCTACTACTATATCTGTATGTCGAACGAAAGCTGCCAATAGTGTTTTACAATTTTAACAGTCTCTCTCATAGACTCCAGATTGTTTTTATGTTTGTTATTTATTGTTTGTAACTATTTAAACCACTTCCTTCCCATATAATTTGTTTTATTTACAATATTTTAATTCTACAGCGGGAATTCTAAATTCATCAGTCAATTTTATTTAAGATAACACTTACACTAAATAGATTTTCTTTGCGTTCATTTGTTCATGGGAAATAATTTTAATACATTGTATGTATATAATAATACCTATTAGACTATAAATATAAGTTTTTTGGTTTATTACCTATGTCTAATTAAACCATGTCGAATAAAGCCGATTTGTAGATTAAGGGAAGTAAACTTCCGTGGGAAGTATTGCAAAATTTTTCATCAATCTATGAAAAAAATGTATGCTCTTGTTAATAATGAGAATCATGCTTGCACTTGATCCTGTGTATCTATATCAACTTAAATTATACTAATTAGAAGTTTTTGCTCATAAAATTGCTTTCTGTTATTAATTGTAATACATTTTTTACATGTTATCAATTTGCTTCCTCCTAATGAGACATTCGAACATATTACTTCTTAATTTATTGCTATGTAATTGCTAAATAAATTATTCTAGAAAGTTGTTGCAGTTACGACAATATTTAAGAAAATACATGTCGTTTTATTTAATAATTAATTACATCGTTGGTAGTTACTAGTTCATCATGTTTCACAATGAGTGCGATACACAATCAATTAACTTTATGAAAAGCGAATAGGGTTTTGTAAATGTTACTTATTTGTTGTGAATTTGATCCTTAATCATTCGATTTTAAACAGTTTTGTTTTATTTAAAAGTGACTAACTTCTCAAATGTTTTCATAAAAGCTACTATATCTAATCATTTTTTAAAATAAGTCTGACCTTTATTAAAGAGAATTATTTTTCGCCTTGACTAATTATATTACCAATTCAATTTCAATTTTTTAATTTAATTTATTATTAATACGTTTCCTAATTTCGTTGTTTGATGACGTCAAGAAAACTTAGTTGGGACGTACTTTTCGCCTTCATTCGTATCTTTATATCTCAAAATGGATGGCTAATCTTCTTGTATTATGACATTATGACATTTTGCTATCCTTTAACAAGTCACTAAGCTGCTCTTATTAATTGCTAGCATATTATTTGATTATCGTACTAGGCGGTAAGAATATGCACTTAATTACACAGTTAATTATGATTGTTCTTAAGTTTTCAGTTTATTTTTCTTTATTGTTATCGGTACAATGTGAACACCGCACATATTTACTATTAATAGTATTGTTACGCAAACTTGACGTGATAAGGCATGATTTCGTTATTTTGCACACTTTTTTTCATGTCAAACATCAGTTCAAAATTCCGAAAACATGAAAGTAAATCCTCATGTGCCATATTTGGCTGCTGTTTCAGGTGCAATTTTATTCTTTGTTACATTCCATATTAGTTGGTTTGCCATACCGGAATATGTACACCGTTTAATTGCACAGGTATGTCATAACATTGAAAATAAACATAAACTGAAATAAGTTAATAACTAATATCAAATGCTACATTGGTCAAGCAGGTAGATCTTTTAATACTGGAATCAGAGAGCACTACAAATGCCTTGAAAATAAAAAACAATTAATTCTAACTTGTCAGAAAGTAACCATAAATTTTATTTTGAATTTAATATGATGTATAATTTATAAAGTAGTCCAAAATTAAATTTTTAACGGTAAATAAAATAAGAAATTGTAATGCTGGCTTACTGTGGAATGACCAGTCATACATAAATAGTTCATCTTCTAAACTTGTTCAAATTGCTACGCCTTTCAAGCTGCACAACACAGCAATGTGAACAAAATGAATAAATCGCTTTTTAAGGTTTCATTTTTCAAGTTTATGCACCCTTTGAAGGTTGGGTTATGGTTAGGTTAGATTAGGTTAATTAGGATTATTTGACATAACATTTGACCTCTAATATGCCTCTAATTTGAGCATTTTCGAAATTCCATCGATTCTTAGGTATAACAATGATTGTCATAAGAAGTGAAGAGTTTACAAATTGTGTTAATTTATTTAAACAAATTGACTGTACTAGGAGGCATTCATTACAAAAGGGTCTCATTCCTTTAACATGTGGAGTACAAAGTCTCACAATTTTAAATTTAAAATTTACGTGTTCAATATAACCAATCCCAGTGAAGTGAAGGATGGTAGAAAGCCAGTTCTTAAAGAAATTGGTCCTTACGTATACGAGTAAGTATTATTAATACACTGTCCTAAAGCAATGGCTAAATAAACAATTTATTGATTACTTTTCTTTTTTTTTGTTATACATTAATTCGAATTGATTTTTAGTCTCGTCAGAGATCATATCAAAGTCGAAGAAAAACCGTTGACAGACAGTGTTATTTATTACGAAAGGAAAACTTATTACTTTAACAAAACTGAATCAGGAAACTTGGAAGAAGCAGACATCTTTACTATTTTCAATACGGAACTTCTGGTACTAGTAAATGCCAAACTCAAAGAATTGATTTGGTGAATGAGTAGATAAAAGTTTATTTAGCATGAGGTTTCTTAACCTTCGGTCCATATCGTAAATGTCAGGGATCCATGATCAGCCTGTTATGTCTAATTATCCAGAGTTCAACTATTCCTATTAAAAATTGTTTTTAAATTCCTTCCTTTTCGTTTCTTATAATCTATTCAAAAAGAGTTCGTGGGATTTTTAGAATTTTGAAAGGTTAAAAAATCCAGAACTTAATCCCTTTCTTTAATTCGTTGTTTATTTATTTTATATTTAAGTAAAATTAATTTGAGGAATCAGATTGTTGATTTTAAAACGAGTGAAAATTTTAGTCATCAGCTATGGAATTGTATCTAATTTTTCCCGATTTATTGTCTATACTGACGCAAGTTTTTCCTTATCTTTTTCCTGGCATGAAGGATGCATTTTTACAAAAATCTGTCAGAGAAGTCTTTTTTGATGGCATTGTAATTAATTGTGAAAGCGAAGTAGCTGGTAAGTTGTTAAGAAGTTTACAAAATAGATACAAACAATAACATTTTGCGAATTTTAGATTCTGTTTGTCGCCATATTGAGCCCGATTCGTTAGGAAATTTAAGACACGCTCCTAATAATAGTAAAAACTTTGTAGTTTCATTGTTTGTAAGTAAAATCGTCATGTATGTATGCTCAAAATTTACTTTAATTAACTCGCTTAAAGAAGTATAACTTAAAAAAAAATAATTACCTAATAAAAAACAATTATTTGTTGTAATTATTATTAGGTAAACGAAAGTGAAGCGGGCCCCTTCGAAATGTATCGTGGAGTAAATAATTTACTGAATAGGGGCCAGTTGAAGACAATAAACCACAAAAATACCCTTGACATATGGAAGGGCGAATGTGATGTAGTAAAGGGTTCTGATGGTTTCTTTTTTTCACCCTTAACTAACATACAAGACCATGTTGATATTTATATACCAGAAATTTGCAGGTCAGTAGTTATTCATCATCATAAGGGGGTTAATTATTTGCGAACAGTAATTTAATCTAGGTCTACCTCTACACCTCTTAACTTCCGTTTCTCCCTCTAATATGTCTCCGACTAGACCTCCATGCCTGAGAAGGTGTCCTCCTACCAACTTATCTCGCCTATTTCTTATTGACTTCCATAGAGTCCTCTGTTTTCCTATTCTTTCTAATATCTCTTCATTTTCAACCTTCTCTATTCACGGTATCCTCATCATTCGCATGTAACAGCACATTCCGAACGGTTCTTTTTCTGCTTCGACCACCGCCCACCTTTAACAATCTTTTTCGAATTTCTAAATTAACCGTTCGCGAGCATAGAAGTGACTTCTTTTTATTGAAAGCGACTCGACTCTGCGTTATCCTGTGCTTTGTATCCTTACTACTCCTTCCGTCCTAACTGACTCAGTAGTTATTACATAAATTAATTGATAAGTGATACTAATAAACAATTTGACTTAAGCGGTTTACCGTTGCAGTTGGAAGGATACTACAGAAAACCCTCTGAGCTTTGGTATTTCAACCGTCTACTTATTAATAAACTTGCTTCGTAGCCACTGAATGTCTTCTTAAGCATCTAGAGAAAAAATTGTTTATCGAGAGGTGGTAGTTACAGCTGTCTCTAATTATATCACCACTTTTAGTTGCATTGCATATTCGTTTTTTATTTAAAGACTGGTTTATACTTACCAATTACAGGCTCATGCGCATGCTTTAAATAGAAAAATAATCTTTATTGATCTTTAAAAACGTAAAAACGAAACCTTTTACAATTAATTCTCGTATGCCAGTCATTAGATCCGACGAAGGTCTCATTCACAGGACAATTATTAAAAAGAAAAACATAATATACTTGCTTCTTTATTAGTATTTATTTATTCAGTTACATTATTAAGGATTCAGGCGAAGAATTATAACTTATAAGGAGAACGAGCAAGGTTTCTCAACGTAAATGAGACAAGTATCTACAAAATACTAAGAAACTTTTGATTTCCATACAATAATAAGCTGGAAAAATCATTATCGGCATTATCATAGAGTCATGAGTCCGAAAACTTCTTCACTTTATATTACCTCAATCCTGAAACATCTGTAACTGTTTGGAGCCTTTTTAACACATCTTTACACCCACAGAGGTTACCGTATGGTGTGCTTTATGGGCTGGTGGAATCATTGATCCATATTTCTTTAGAAATGATGCCGGCAAGAATAGTCAGTTGCTCGTTCCCCAACCAAATGACATTAATGTAAAAGAGTTATTGCAAAAAGTACTCCACAAACGCATAATCTAACGTAATGGACCAGTAAATTTGCCTCTACAATCTCGCGGCCTGACACCACTGTGGGAATATGCGAAGTCGCTGGTCTATGCCAATAGACCATATATGATGGACAACTTAGAAACCAACGTTCTCCTCATTATTAACGATATACGACCCTAGATCCTGAAAACAGTGTTGGACTTCTAGATTGTCCTAAGCTCGAGCCAACCGTGACGTTCATATTCGCGAAATCATTTTTGTAATTTTTTCCGCCAGGCTGGTGGTCAAAAAATTATAACAATGTTTTTGTGTAACGTTTTGGTTTTCAGTTAAGGATATAACTACCTGAAAACACTAAAAATTAAGGAGTTGAATTTAAAGTTTGTAAAGTCAGAGTCTCACGTTATGCTATAAAATTATGCCCTCACAAACTCTGTAACTAATTAGACAGAACAATACCGTACGATTTCGATTAATAAAGATATGTACATGTATACGTACGTATTAGTTTTGTTCACATTTAGTTTTATCTAAGGGTCTAAGGGTAATAACAAATCTATACGAACTAAATGGATCGAGTTATTGCTATTGTTACACTGGCAAAAACGAAAACGAGTGGGTTTAATTCGAAACTATAAAGAATTTTTCGATTGTCAATATCAATGATTTTATTAGAGTAACTACCGCTTTTATCAATTGGCTGAAGTAATGAATGAGTTGAAACGAAGAGAAACCGAGTATTTTCCAGAATTCTCTTACGAGAATGACACAGCCGTCTTATTCTTGCACTTATTACCTTATTAGAACGAAAAAATATTCGTGGATGATGATGATCTACAAATAGAAATTGGTAACATCATGTTTAGGATCACCCAAAATGTGAAAAGTGTACTCAATTTTTTACTTACCCTATCATTGGTCTTTACATAGGTCTTCTAAAGAAACTTTACTAGACTGTATTTGGTTTACATGGACCGAGCGGCATGACCTACAGGTTTAGACCATTGCTTAGCATTCGGGAGAACGCCGGTTCGATTCCGGGTCCGTCTGCCTTGATCCAAGTTTTTCTGTGGTTTGCTTGGATCACTTAGGCAAATGTTGGAGTAGTAATATTTCACAGATAATCTTTCATTCTCTTCTGTCTTCATTTCGTGCGTCTCATCTTTCTCACCTGAATCACTACCCACCTATTCCCACGATTCCTGAAAGGAGGCTGAAAAGGGCCTTCCACCCTACCTTGCGGCGTTGTCCGGAAGGACTGCACGCCCTCCACCATTACTGGCTTGAAGGTAGCTTACCACCCAATGAAGCCAAAATTTGACAATACAATTGTTATGGTTTTTATTTTTGTAACAATACAAAAAAAAATTAGTGAAATTAGTGTTTTTCAATTTATTTACACGAATTTTTATCAAATAAGGCTCAAGTAAATCAAATCTTTTTATACTAAATATTTCAACAAAATTGTCTTGATAATAACATTAAGATAACCTGTCCCCTATTTTTCAGACCACTACATTTTGTTCAAGAAAACAAAATTTCCGATACGATTCAGCAGTTTTTGTTGAACAACAAAAGTTTTTCATTTGATAACACCGACTGTTATTGCGCCGATGAAAGTGTAAATAATAATTCACTAAAAGCTGCATGTCCCCCCTATGGAATCATGGAAATTAGACAATGTATTAGAACGTCTATGTGGCTGTCGCTACCACATTTCTACCTCGCCGATAAAAATCTTTTAAATCCAGTCGAAGGTTTAAAACCTGAATCTAATTTACATTCTTCTTTTATTAATATTGAAACGGTAAGTACGTAAATATTTAATAAGAGCAACAATACCGCGGGCAATATAAATTCATTAGTCTGTATCAAATTATTTTAGGTGTCTGGGGTAACTATGAATGCAACTGTTAGAATACAGTTTAATCAAAGAGTGAAGCAAATAAAGGATTTTTTCTATTTAGAGAACGTTTCCGATTGTGTGATTCCTTTAGGATGGATAGAAACGGTGGGAATTACATAAAATTCAATTGTGATGTCTGTAAAAGAAATTGACTAAAATTGTTTTCAAAAATAACGAAATTAAAATTTCTTAGAGTTATTTAATTAACAATACTCAAAAGTGCTTTTCTTCGGGTACATTTACTATTTTGTTTATTCTTTTAGTCGTACCATCTACTCGATGATTTTAAGGATTCGATAGATAAGCATGTGCACCGTTTGAATTTAATAACAATAGCCAAATGGTCTTTGCTAATTGTGGGATCGGTACTGACAAGTGCTGCCATAGTATTCTGCATCTATTTCGAATTGTGCTCCGAGAATGTGAAAAATAAATTTCCTCTATGCGCTAAGTTTAAATCACGCAAAGCCGATCAGCAGTTAGAGTTATACAACACAGTATTATAAAATCTTAAGATAAGTTGTCGCAAAAAACATAAACATAAATAGTTGTTAAATTTTGGGATTATAATAATAATTAATTGATTAATAAATATTTAAATGAAGCTGTAGACTTACTTGAGCTTTCATCTCTTCAGGGGTGTAATTACGTGCACTTCTGAGGTTGGTTTTTAAACAAGAAGGCAAAGCATTTTTCATTTAATTTATATGTGTGTTTATACATTATATTACACGAGTTTTGTTTGTCGGCTTTGGAATCATTAACAGATTTTCTTACTAACTTGTTCTCATGCATACATGCAATTGGAAGCGTTTCTAAAGTTTATCTACAAAAAGTTGTGTAATTAAACACGCTGGTTTGTTTACCCTTAAGCGATAACTTCACTCAAATTCTCACAAGTTCACCCCAGGGTAAGCACCATTAAATTGTAAACTTCGGAAAAGTATTTGCTTACCTTCTTTTTACTACTTTAACATGTGGTCTAAGAAGGAATTTTTCCCGCTATGCTGCTCCTCAGGTGGCAGACTTATTAAAAAATTAAAAAAAAAATCATAGCGCCATACATATGTCTCAAAGATTCCAACTTAATCTTATTATTGTTAGCGTGGAAAACCATTTCCTTTTTAAATATTTGAAAAGTGTAACGAAAACGTTTGTCTGTAAGGGTAGCTTTTCAACATTTAACCTGTAATTATTTATTAAGTATACTAGCTGACCCGGTCACGCGTTGCTGTGGCTAACGTTTTTGTCATATTACATTGTTATAAACTACTGAAGGGGAACGGTAGGAGAACATCGGACATGGGCACCACCATACTTTTTTACATAGATGCCATTTGTAAAAAAACATGGCGACCTTCATGACTGATTTTCTACTACCGTTACCCTTTATTACAATGAAATTATTATTTACGAACGAAGACGGAAACGTTAAAGCTGGTATAAAAATTTACTGGTTTGGGATTTGAAGGGGAAGGACTACTTATATTACTTTATTATTTATACAAAAAAACGACCAAAGGCTTTAGTACTAATTATCCTAAACCATATCGAATTTGTCAAAGGATGTTGCCACCGTTTGACTATATTGTTTCTAATGGAATATCCCTACGTTCGGCTCTTTCAATTCGCCGCTAGTGTATACATTTGTTTACACGAAATTTCATGTATTCGAAAATAAAAGAAATCTATCTAATTAGGCATAACAAAAATTATATTTATTTTGTGAGTGAAATAAATTTTGATACTATTCATCAAAATAGGCGAAGAGGCTGTGTAACTATTTCACCTAAATAGACACTACCGATTGACTGTTTAGGTTTGTGTAGTCGTGAGACAAAAAATTATCCTGAACATCCGTTCTACTAGAATGTTTTCAAATAAATTGGTAGCGAATTTGGTTCGATGCTTTCGATAAATAGGTTTCTTACAAATAACAGGTCAATTGAAAAGTCCCCGGCCTAAAATAGTAAAACACATTTTATTCAACATAATTCCCTTCAAGGGTGATACACTGATTATAGCGATCCTCCAACTTTTCGATACCATTTTTGTAGTACGATTTGTCCTTTGCTTCAAAATAGGCNAAATGGCTTTAAATGTCCGCGTATAAGGCTAACGGTTCCCCTTTACCCCATATCTGTCAACACCTGCTACGAGGCTATGACTTTCGTAATTTATATATATTAAGATGTATGATAATTTGAAATACAAAAATAGAAAATTTGCTTCTGTTTTTCCTCAAATTTTATTTCATATCATAGGGGTAAGTAAGTGCATTGCTTGTACCTGCTTCATTGTGAGAGAGGCAACAATTTCACCGCTTAAATTTATTCTGTTTGAGCTTTTTGGGTTTATCTTCGAGGCATTTCCGTTTGGATTTCCAGAAATTAAAACTTTTTGTCAATTCGTAATCGTGGACCGCGTTTTTATGTTTTTAAATGAACCCAGCGCCTCTCACATGGTTACTAAAGAACTGAAAGAATCATTTTGCAGAACAAATATATAAATCTGTTTTTAAGAAAAGTCATCAATGAAAGGTCAATGTCGTAGCTTTTTTATTTCTTCGAAGGTCAAGCTTTAAGAATTCCTTACATACGTATATGTGTATTATTTACCTATACATATACCGCCTAAGTGTACATACTGTCAACACGTACCTAACCGTTCAAAAGGAATTTCATTCATATTTAACTTGAAGGCATAAAATCATCTACATATATGCGTGAATATATGTGAATGCTTTATTGGTATTTACCCACATAGGTGTGTTTGAGTATATAAATATATTTGCTGATAAGCTAATTTTCAGAATACAACGAATAACATCTATATTCACCTCTATTGTATGAAAATACGGTAGAACTTATTTATCTCGGTGGGTATTTATATCAGTTGTGATATGAAATTATGCCAGTGCTTGAATTTCTCGTTTTCTCACTATTTATATCACTTGTCTTTAATAGACTGTTCTCCTTCCGATAGTAAATGCTTATTTATTTATACTACAATAGAATGTGCTTGATTATTTCCGAAAAGCTTTCCGTAATTTGCTATTATTTTATAATTTGTGTATGATTTACGCAGCATAAAAAACGGTACCGTATCGATTGCAGCCTGCGGTGTTCTTTCAGTACAATATCTACGAGCCGCTCCTGCCTTATTCATGTAAATACAAAAAAATCAAATTCTAAACCTCCAGATACATGGTGACGACAGTGGTTAAATAAATGTAGAATAACAAATAAAAATGCTACCAATAGGTGGGGTTATTTTACTTGCTATTTTTATACTTTCGTTGATATAATATTTTGTGCAAATATTTGCATTTAAAGATGCGTTATATCGATTTTGGTAGCCTAAACTTTGATTAAAAACAATTGTGAGCTCTGATAGGTAAAATTATAAACGCCTTCTTTTGCTTTAAAAAGACTGGGCTCGTTTCGTTCGAATTATATTCTTGTTGTATTTTATTTGGAAAAAAATGTCATTTTTTTTGTTAATATTATATAACGTTAAAGTAAACACTAAACATTTATATTTTACAGTCAATAATACGTTAGTGTACATATTGAAACGTGCATTTTCATAAATAAACGACTATCCTTGGGCAAAAATGTCTTCCGGCGTTGGGACGGTTTTGTTTTCGTTATATCCTTCTGAGAAGTTACAGTTCCGGTCTTTATTCCATTTCCGACACTTCACTAACAATAGTAAGAAATATAAACCATATGTTCCAAATATTTCCAGTTTTTATGACACTCAGGGGTAGTTGTAAATCGAAAGACTCATTGTATTCTTGCAGCGCTTTCTAAAATTCTATTTTTAAAATCCATCACATTTCAAAAGATGCATTTTTTCGTGGAAAATTAAAAACAAACGTTAATTTATTGTTTTCAGATTAATGATTTTTCAGTTTTTGTCGTAGGTTAATCTATCCTACCTATCATACAAACAAAATCCATTAATAAAATTGTTGTAAGTTGCAATTTTAGTCATAATTAAATGTAAGTCGGTCAAATACAATTCGTGAATTATAAGTCAAGAAGCAAATAGCTTCATAAGCATTTTGACTATGACCATAAAGACAGTTTTACATAGACGTCAATGAACTCGTAAATAAATCGTACAGAACACTAATAATTACGATTTTACTTTGTCATAAAAATCAATACGACACATAAATTAGCGAAACAATTTTTACTAATGAATAGAAACCAGCTATTGACTGTTTATTGTATTTATTTTTAGGAGAAACCTTTAACTTTGGCGTTACACCCACACCTACATATAGTTCAGATTTAATAAATTTCAAAAATAAGGTTTGCTTTCATCCCTAAAACAATTTTTAATTTTAAATACGTACAGATCCGGCCCTGTACATATTTAAGTATGCATATGCAACAGATACTTTGGCACAGAGTCCTCCACCACTTAAAAAACGCAAAAAAATTTTTAATAACAAAAATTTATAATGTAAAAATGTCTTTAGAGGATATTTGATTATATATGAATAGATACAAATAGTCAAAGCTTTGTATTTGTATTTAGCATTTTTTAATTTTTGGGGAGCCTTCTCTAGCAAGCTGTACAGGGCTTGGAAAAGTCTTAGTCCGGCCCTGAATATTATTATCGAATACATCATTGAACTGGGTCACACTCCTTATTATTGTTTCCTATTTGCTAGCAGATTTGGAAGTGCTTATTTCTATTGAAAAATTATTTAACTAAAACTTAATTTAAATTTAATTCCATGAATAAGGTTGTTTGTAGAATTGAATTAACTTTAAAAAAATTGTGAGGTAAACATTTGCAGAACCGAGCTGCCACTGTATGTCCCCATATATTTCAGTAATAAATAATGTAATACTAGTTTTATTTATTCAGTTTTTCAATTTTGCAATAATTCTAGTAAATATTGGTTTATCTAGGCGAATGAGAAAATTCTGGTAATATCTGAATGTCTACGTGTATTTATGGCTAAATTTATGCAATACGAAGGTATCTGGCACTCTTGCAATTTTCTTGCTTAGCGTTCCATGAACCGAGATAATTTTTTGCAGATAATTCAACTAACGGGTACGCCAGTTCCTGCAATTGAACCATGTATGCACACTTATTTTCTACTGTACACATTAAAAAATAAAATCAAACCGCTGTATGGTCTTATCATTACATAAATTCCGTTTTCTGTGAACCAGTTTTTTTTTTAATCGGTGATAAGATAGGACCCGCTATCACCGAAGAAGGCGCACTCATTGGTCGAATTGTTGTTGTTTATGTTGACGATACGTATGAGTGTGTGTGTGTGTGTGTGTATTCAGTCCTTTTAAATTTTAAATGGCTTTAAATGTCCGCGTATAAGGCTAACGGTTCCCCTTTACCCCATATCTGTCAACACCTGCTACGAGGCTATGACTTTCGATACCACACCATCGTCATATTCATCTAGGCATGGCAAAAAAGTTTCCGTGTATCGCATTATCTACAATGGAGTGCCACACGCACTCCTCTAAACTAAAACTTACATCATAACTACATAACAGCTTTATTAGTTGCACTGTACAATAATTATGCCTC